CTGGCACAACACAAGCGGACGCTTGAGTGGAGATGGGGAAGGGTTACATGTGGCCGGCCCACGGTTCCAGGGGGGAAGCGGGGCTCACATCTGCTGTGCACCTGTCTCGAACCCAAACCTGGGGTGGACCCAGTTCCCCCTTTTTCCAGCGCCCTCCACAACCCAACTGTACTCTTGGGAAAGAGGCGTGAAGGAAGCCCGAGAACACCCTCCTGGAGAGAAGGAAACAGGAGAGCTCAGCGTCCTTCCGCTTTCTCTGACCGAATCCCACTCCCCTGGCTCTGCGGGCACTGCGACCATCCCGAGGAGCTGGGAAGACACCGGGCAAGGGGCCGGGCCTGGGCAGTGGCCCCAGTGGGCAGGAGGAAAACTGAGTTTTCAATGCAATACCAAGCAAGACTGTTTGGAAACAGAAGAAATGCAAGAGAGGCTATACACCCATAGGCTGGAAGCTAAGTCCTGGAGTGCATCTGGGCCGGGGGTAGGGGCGGCAGACGACAAAACCGGTCTCGCAGCGCAGCACCAGGTCCCAAGAGGTTAAAGGTTAACCAACCCCTCCTCCTATACAAGTGCCGCTCCTTGGGTTCCCCAGTCTGTTTAGCTCATTTGGGGGTATTTCTGCCAATCTCTCCACGATGTGAGTACTCAGTCCACTGGTTGGTCCACTTTCTACCCTTTGTACAAATATGAAGCACAGAGCTTTACAGTGACACACCTACTCTGGAACCGTCAGGGGACAAGCTGACCTAATGTCAGGAAGGTTAAAACGTTGGCTTTTCTGAGCGGATGGAAGGGGACAGCGGCAGAGTTCTGGTGGGATGAGAACAGTCTTGACAGAGCCTGTGTGAGCCCCAGGGGGCTGCTCCCCGGGTGCACGGGCCTCTGGTTCTCTGTCTCAGACATTTACTAGACTTGCCCATTTAAGCCTCTGCTAAAATGGATGAGCACCAGCAGGAAGTGACAAAGACTTCTGTCCTTGGAAAAAGTTAAACTGAATACATCTTGGCTACTTTGCCTCACTCTAAAGGGTTCCCTTGGAAATACCCTTGGCCAAAGGGAGACTGCATCTGGGCGATGCACTTGCCACAGGGTTCGGAAGCACGAGTACTTCATGTTTTTGAACTGGGTCGGCCCCAGGGATTCTAACCTTTCTGAGGCTGACGGCAGACAGTGGAGTGGAGGTGATCCTAGTGAGGAAACACCTTATAGAAGCCGTAAGCTGTTTGAAAACCAGACCCTGCAGCTGAGCAAACAGGGCAGAGGCTCGCCTACTCCTCAGAGCCCCTCCCCTACCAAGTTCACTGGATGGGCTGGGAGACACGGTCCCTGAAACAAAGGCTGGGCTGGGCTGGCAAGAGCAAGTATGGAGACGCTACTGAGGGGCTGCCGCTTCCTCTCCGAGGAATAACACCCTTGGTAGGCCAGAGACACGTGCTTAACTTTACAACAGCTTCCAACATCCTCAACTTCCTTAAACACGTGGCAAATTGGTAGCTATCCTTAAGACAGATGTAGTGACTAGCATTTTACTTATGTTAACCAATAACCTTTTGATTATACACCAGATTGCAGGTTCTCAGACCATGAAACAATAAACACAGACCCGACATTTACAGAACTGCACCCCATACTGTATTCCTTTTACAATAGAGTTAACTACTGTAATTGTTTTAACTGCTAAATGCAGCACTACGCCACTGGACCCTGGACTCACTCATGCACCTGCGCCCTGCGCAACAGGCCCACAAATATCCACCCACGGGAAAAGCGAAAGGGTGAGGTCCTCAGGCTAAACAAAACACCCAAAGCAAATCCGAATTTGGAGGGAGTCCCCTTGGGGTATGAGCCGTGTGGGAAGGGCGAAGGGTTGTGTCCCTGTGCTGTGGCCTAGATGCCTCCTGCAATTTCCTTTGGAATCCTTCCTGCTCTCGGGAGGAGCACAGCTGCCTGCTTGCCAAACAATGGCCCTCGGAGTCCTCCCTTCACTTCAGGCTTTGGAAGCTCACCAAGGCCTCACTTCACGTCCGCCCCGCCTGGAGGCTCTCTGTGGAGCAGCCCAGGCCTCCTGGTCCTCGGGTGTGTCCATCACAAGCCTCGACCTTCCCTGGCTAAGTTACATCTGTTACGCTGCTGGAAGCAAATAACCAAAACTAGATGTCTGCTCTGGTCATTTACTAGTGAGCCTGGAAAGCTTTTGTCAACAGGACAATAAAGAGAGAGGCTACCTGGACCTGCGGCTGCTGTAGGGGAAACTTCAGTTCAGCACAAGGTGCTCGGAAAGCCGGGCTCATCAGCGTTCGTTCTGGAGGGTTTACAGGCAACCGCACTGGGAGAGTGACTTCCTGCAGGTGAGCTGCCGCGTCCCACGTGCCAAACAGCAGAGGACGACCTCAAGGCCGGCGTCGGGACTGAGGCATCTTGCCCGTTTCCTAAGGAGTTCCAAAGACCTACGATTTTCATCTAAATGGGACCTCAAGCCCAGAGGAGTGACTGTACTGTTGCGCTGTTCTCCCCACAGGTAATGCCACAGGTGGTAAGCGATTCAGTAGGTACTTGCTCCAGAGCAGTATTCCCATTCTTCAACTCAGTGATGAGTAAAACCTTTGTGTCTGGATTGGCTGCCACGGGGCGATGAACCTCGAGTGACAAAGCTCCCGGAATTGCAGTGATCTCGGGTCCCCCCACACACAGACAGCAGCAGCTTTTATGGACTGCAGGCAGTGCTTCCCAGTTTACCTGACCACCTCAAATGTCTCATGTTCCAGGTGACATCTCAAGTGGCACGGAGAACACAGCTCTCCTGGACGGTGAGAGGCTGGCGAGGGGATGCCAGATGGGGCAAGGCTGAGGCCACCAACATGAGAGCCACGCAGCCCGAAGCCTCAACAGCCCGGGGGAAGAGGTGCCACCCCACAGGGCTCACATCACCTGCCTGCCACCACCTCACCCGGGCAGTGTGAACGCACAAGTGACCTCATCTTCAGGATTTCTCCAGTTATTTCTTCTCACTCTAAATCTACTCTCAATTAGGGCAGGCTTACAAAACAGTTCAGAAACATTAAAAATTACAGTTGTGGTAAAAATCACATTGTGGTTATGAAACCCTTTCTGAAAACTAAAAAAGTGTGGCTCAGGCTAAGCTACTTTACAAAAAGATCAGGTAGGGAGACCGACAAAGGTGTTACTACAGCACTAGGTGGAAATGGGAAATAAGGAAGGTAGTGTGCGACACACACAGGTCCCGACGACGTCAGCCCTCTGGGTAGAGGTTCAGGCCTCCGCTGAGCACTGTATGTGGAGAGGAGAAAGGGGAGGAGAGCCAGGAGGACGGCCTGCCTGCAACTTCTTCCTTCTAGTAAGTCTAAGGGAATTCGCCTGGGTTGACTCCTAACATCAAAACAGAAAATATTTTTTTGCCGTGAAAGAACTTGACTATGTAGCAACATGCTTACAAAACTGCTGCAAACCTCTCCCCAGAGGCTGGGGGAGTAAGGGCCTAAGTGCGGCACGCCCCACGGCTGTGCCACGCAATGCTGAGGGTGGCGGAAATCCTGCCTGGCCTGCGGGGTGACAGTCCCACCCCCTCTGACCCCTCCAGGGGGCCCCAGCTCAGACTCGGCAGTGATGGAGCACTCTCCATGCAGGGCAGACGGGGCAGCAGACACTTGTAAAAAAAAAAAACACGGTCAATTCATTAACGTGTCTGTCCTGTCGTGTTTGCTATGAGAAAACTCAAGACTCCTGTTTCATGGGCTGCACTGCTCTGAAAGGCTACAGAAAATCTAACACGTTTCTCACATTGATGTTTCTCTCTCCCTCTCTAAAAAAATCAATAAAAACTAACACAGCGGACTCTCCCTCTCCCTCTCTCACACACACACACACAGTCCTGGTCCATAAAGATGGCATGACCTCACTTGTATTTCCCCAATGGCTGCAGTTTATAAACTAAATATGAATTTTAATTTTAAAAAACCCACTGCTATCTTTCTCTATCCTGAGAATGGTCTGATGGGTGCTCCAGTGATGAGCAATTTCTCACATGCAAATTGCCTGTGAGAGAGACCTGGCCTCTGCTCTGAACACAGAAACCTGTTTCTGCTGAGCCTGAATAAGGTGAGTTCTTGCAGAACTCATGGCAAGCTGCTATCAGTACAAGATTTTGCAAGTAGGGTAATTTTTGTGCTTTCATTTCTCCTCACTTTCTCTGAGGAGCTATCACAAAAGGGCTCTGACTGCAGTAAAGGCAGCCACGGTGTTTGCGGTGCCACGGAGGGAAAAACTCCAGTCCCTACTCATCAGAATCCCGGTGCCACAGGAAACACCAGCTGGACAGAGCCTCCTGCCAGCCAAGCAAGCACCAGCACAAGCTCGCCAGTTAACTGCATTCACAGGATCCACTCATGTCACCGAAAAACACTCCTTGGCACAGTTCACTTTCCTGACCCAAACACCACCGCCAATCCAAACTGGACTCTGCAGCGTAGTATGCTGCTACACCAGCCCAGTCAAGGCCTCTTCAGATCATGGAAAAATGCACAATCACTGTTAACACTGCAGCTCCCTCCCTTCCAGGAGCACTGACTGCTTTCCTGCACAGCACTTTCAATCCACATCATAAAGGGAGACTGCATCTGGAAGAACGTGCCTCTGGGGCTCCACTTAGTGCTTAGCTGAACTTATTTCATATCCTTGCATGTGTCTGAACAGAACCTTCGATGCCCCAAGTCAGGCAACAAGCGGCAGTGTGTCTTTCAAGTAGGACATGTGAACAGTGAGTGGCATTTACGTTCAAATCCCACGGTGCTGTTTCTCTGGCTGGGATCCTTACTTGGGGACAGAACTCCTTTCCCAGAGAGGGGACAGTATGCTAAGAAACTGCAGGCACTGCCGTTCAGTTAATGTGTTTAAGACTGGGAATAAAGATGCTAACTGAGAATGTAGCAAAACTTAAATTCACCGATACCCCCAAATGCTAAAAACTAAATGACACAGGCCAACCAGGTATATACGTTCTTTTAGTGGGAGGGAAGAGCAAAGCTTTTCAAAGTTTGAGTATTTATTAGAATTTTTAAATAAAGAGAACTATGATATTAATTTTCACATCTTGGCTATGTTTTGACAAAGGAGATGCTACTAAGGGTATAGCAACAGCTCCTTTCCCAAGCCAGGGATTGACCAGCGCCCTCCCCAGCCCACCCCGATTTTAAGACCCTTACTTCCCAACTAGACAGCACAATTGGCAAATGAAGCCAGCATGAAACCGGTATCAAAACCCAACACGACAGTGTGCGGGGAGCCAATGCATCAAGTAGCTGTTCTCCTAAGTGATCAGCGTCCTGCCAGATCCCTCACTCCCCACCGGAAGCAGCCTTTCACACCCCAGTGGGAGACACGTTCAGTATCCCTGGGCATGCTCATGGTGCACTTAGAAGTGCTGTAACATTACAAAGACAAGCAAACACCTGGATTTCCTGCCTGCCTACGTTCTTGAACTTAGCAGGTTACCCAGGCTGGGGAAAGGACTGCACAGCTACACCTGTCAAGGACAGTTGGCCGCTTCAGTGCACATGGTCAAGGTCCAGTTCGGCACGCTGTAAGGCATGTACACACAAGGAGGGAGGCTGCTGTCGGGGGGCAGTAGCATTATGGAAAAAATTCCAAACCAGCAGGACAGGAACAGTGCTCGATGCTCCAGTTTTTTAGAAAGTAATCCCAAGAACCCAGTTCAAACCCTATTGTCAACATGTAGGGAGGAATTAAATTTCTATCGTTTCTCCAGATCTGAACTGGGGCCATTTGCTACTGGCTTGGTAATAAAAAGGAACTAGGTTTCTTCCTGGTTTTCTTGGCCTAGAAACAGCTGCGGGGAGAGGCCACGAGTCCAGGGCACTGTGACGGTCGCTGCACTCTTCCCAGCCCCACACGACTGCAGTCACCACTGGGGAGGACAGTGAGCTGACCCAGCCACTAGCATTGAGAGAAAAACAAATTGTGAGGCTCTGTTTCAGAAATGCCCCAAATTAAAAAACAAAACCTTCAAAAATTTAAAGTTTCCTCTTCTAAAAGTCATTTATTTACATATTATATGCCCAGTATATAATGTGTAGATAAATGTACCCTGTAGTGAAAGGGACCAACCCACTGGGCCAAATAGCACATTATAGAACACATTCTTGAAAGGTTTCATCTTGTATTGGTATCTTTTAATAAAAAAAATTTAAAAATCAAAGAAAAAAGTCTGGCCAGGGCTAGGATGACAGACAGGAGTTTTTAGGATACAAGGCAGAGGAAGGCGTCTGCCTCTTTTTAGAGAGCGTAGGGGGTGTGAACAGGGAGGGAGAGATCATGCACAGAAGTACTTACAAATCACATCCCCCTCAATAAAACAGAAGAAAAGCCCCACCACTTAACGCCAAACAGCAACATATCCATGAGCCCTTTCTCTGCTGCCATCCTGCCTTATTTGAGAGAGGAGGCCTGTGAGGAGAGGGGAGAAGAGCAAGGGTGAGAGGGAAGGTCTGCACTTCAGTCTAGTTTCCAATTTCCACCTTCTTCCAGGTCTTCAGTCATCTGATGCCCGACGTGGAGGAGCTCTGCGAAGAAACCGAGTATGTGGAAGCCACGACTGGGGTGCCATTGTTGGCAGAGTAGCCTTGTCGCAACGTCTCAAAATAGGACGCCTGCACCGGCTTGTGGTACTGCAGCACTCTGACGGCGTCGTCCACCCGAAACCACTCCCTCTTCCTGCCTGCGGAGGCACAGAGAGAAGGGTCAGGGCACCAGGGAAGCCACGAAAAGTTTCTAATTGTCTAACCTTTGAGAAAATGTAGAAGGAAACATACAAGCAATGGTTGTCAACATTTTCAAAATATGTATCATAAATACATTTAAAAAATGTTCTTATGAATAATGCAAGCATACTTTATATGCGTCAAATACTGTACCAATGCCTCATGCAGAAAATAGGTACGAAATCTGAAAAGTAAAGAGCTGGCAGTAGTCTGTGAGCATTCTCGCCCTCCAGAGAAGCACAGCTCTCAGCTTCCTCCTGCGCGCCTGGACTTGCTCAGCTTACTCATAAGAGCCTGAAGCCCAGCCGGCATCCCCCTCTCCCGCAAAATTCAACCTGAGCGTGAAGCTTCCGGAATTACCAGGATGGCTGCAGATTGTAATCAGCTATTTATTTTTAAAAATTTATGAGTAAATAACCTTAACACAATTACTATTACGTTTTCAGTCTATTTTTGTTTTATTATTATTATTATTGTTAATCCTCTCTGGAGGCCTTTCTCCATTGATATTTTTTTTAGAGGGGGAGTGGGAGGGAGGAAGGGGGAGAGAGAAACACTGATGTGAGAGAGAGACATTGATTGGTTGTGCCCTTTGGTTCCTGGGCCAACACTCTAACCACTGAACCACATTGGCTAGGGCTATTTTTTTGTTTTTTTTAAAATGTGTGTTACGTGCCATTGAATTGGCTCTGTCCACACTGTCCTGCCCTCAACAGGCACACTCAGGCCTGTGGCTTCTTTCATGGAGTCAATCCATCTCCATGGGCTTAATACATGTTTTAAAATCCTTTGTTATTTTTTCTTATAATAAAAGGTCATTGCTTAAAATTGGGAAAACGGAAGAAAGTATAATTACCCATAATCTTATAAACCAGAAATGACTGAAATCTTATAACCAGTCATTATAAACCAGAAATCTTATAAACCTCTCAATAACTTAATGCATTTGCTTTCTTTCCTATTTTAAAAAGACACTGTATTTGAGCCCTAGACAGTTTTGCTCAGTGGTTGGAGCATTGGCCTGTGGACTGGAGGGTCCAGGGTTCGATTTCAGCCAAGGGCACACACCTTGGTTGCAGGCTTGAACCCAGGCCCCGGTCAGGGCTCATGTGGGAGGCAAACAATCAATGTGTCTCTCACATTGATGTTTCTCTCTCCCTGCCTCCCTCCCTTCCTCCCTTCCACTCTCTCTAAAAATCAATGCAAAAATATCCTCGGGTGAGGGTTAACCACACACACACACACACTTAATGGCTGTGCATTATAACCATTTCCCTATCATTGAACATCAATCTCCTGTAATTTTATTTATAAAATACTATTATAATTTCAAAAATTCTTTATCTGTTTTTTTCTCTACTTTTTTTTAACCTCTCATGGAAAGATCCCTAGAATTGAGATTATATGAATAAAACATTTGAACTCTAAAGGGCTCATGATATATAGTGTCAAATTACTTTCCAAGACGGCTACACCAACCCCCAATCCTGCTTATGTTTGTTGGAGTGTTGGTCTCACACACTCCAGCCAGCACTGTTTCCTTTTCTTGGTCACTGCCAATTCTTTACGTGAAAACCAGTATCTCATTTTTGTTTTCATTTGAAATTACTATTTATTTCAATGTAGCTCTAACTAGTGTATATATAATTCTATACCCTGCTTTTTTCATTCACCAACACTATTTTGCAAGCACTTTCCCACGGTAATAGCTTTCATAAGTATGTGTTTAACAGCTGTCCAACATTCCATCAGATAAATGTACCTTAAATCACTTCTCATTCACTTTGTTGTACAGTTAAGTCCCAATTTTTCATCTGAAAAAGGCTCATCTGAAGGAAGGCTGTTTATCAGGGTCAATTCTCAGGGGTGGGAGTACAGGTGAAAGGCTTTTTCGGTATTAATAGAGCAATGGTACCTTAAAAATTCCTATCATGAGTGTGTGACAGAGTGCTCTGAGGGCAGGGCCACACTACACTCATCTCTGTCTCCCTTTCAGGCCCCAGCACCAGCTGTCCGGGAGTCTATTTTTAATAACTCCCCACTGAACTCCTTCAGTTAAGCATATTGCATTCTTACCAGACAAAGCCATGACAACCTGGGCTATGAAATGCCCACACAGCAGTGGGAGGGCTGGTGGCCAAGCACACACTGACACTGAGGGAGAGGTTTTGGCCCTGGCCTGTTTGCTCAGTGATTAGAGCGTTGGCCCGCAGACTGAAGGGTCCCGGGTTCAATTCTGGCGAAGGGCATGTGCCTCGGTCGCAGGCTCGATCCCAGCCCCGGTCAGGGCGAGTGTGGGAAGCAACCAATCCATGTGCCTCTCTCACATCGATGTTTCTCTCTCTCTCACATCAATGTTTCTCTCTTTCTTTTACATAGATGTCTCTCTCTCTCACACACATGGATGTTTCTCTCTCTTTCATATCGATGTCTCTCTCTCACACACATGGATGTTTCTCTCTCTCTCACATTGATGTTTCTCTCTCTCACATCAATGTTTCTCTCTCTCACATTGATGTTTCTCTCTTTCACATCGATGTCTCTCTCACATTGATGTTTCTCTCTCTCACATCAATGTTTCTCTCTCTCTCACATTGATGTTTCTCTCACATCAATGTTTCTCTCTCTCTCACATTGATGTTTCTCTCTTTCACATCNAATGTGTGTTACGTGCCATTGAATTGGCTCTGTCCACACTGTCCTGCCCTCAACAGGCACACTCAGGCCTGTGGCTTCTTTCATGGAGTCAATCCATCTCCATGGGCTTAATACATGTTTTAAAATCCTTTGTTATTTTTTCTTATAATAAAAGGTCATTGCTTAAAATTGGGAAAACGGAAGAAAGTATAATTACCCATAATCTTATAAACCAGAAATGACTGAAATCTTATAACCAGTCATTATAAACCAGAAATCTTATAAACCTCTCAATAACTTAATGCATTTGCTTTCTTTCCTATTTTAAAAAGACACTGTATTTGAGCCCTAGACAGTTTTGCTCAGTGGTTGGAGCATTGGCCTGTGGACTGGAGGGTCCAGGGTTCGATTTCAGCCAAGGGCACACACCTTGGTTGCAGGCTTGAACCCAGGCCCCGGTCAGGGCTCATGTGGGAGGCAAACAATCAATGTGTCTCTCACATTGATGTTTCTCTCTCCCTGCCTCCCTCCCTTCCTCCCTTCCACTCTCTCTAAAAATCAATGCAAAAATATCCTCGGGTGAGGGTTAACCACACACACACACACACTTAATGGCTGTGCATTATAACCATTTCCCTATCATTGAACATCAATCTCCTGTAATTTTATTTATAAAATACTATTATAATTTCAAAAATTCTTTATCTGTTTTTTTCTCTACTTTTTTTTAACCTCTCATGGAAAGATCCCTAGAATTGAGATTATATGAATAAAACATTTGAACTCTAAAGGGCTCATGATATATAGTGTCAAATTACTTTCCAAGACGGCTACACCAACCCCCAATCCTGCTTATGTTTGTTGGAGTGTTGGTCTCACACACTCCAGCCAGCACTGTTTCCTTTTCTTGGTCACTGCCAATTCTTTACGTGAAAACCAGTATCTCATTTTTGTTTTCATTTGAAATTACTATTTATTTCAATGTAGCTCTAACTAGTGTATATATAATTCTATACCCTGCTTTTTTCATTCACCAACACTATTTTGCAAGCACTTTCCCACGGTAATAGCTTTCATAAGTATGTGTTTAACAGCTGTCCAACATTCCATCAGATAAATGTACCTTAAATCACTTCTCATTCACTTTGTTGTACAGTTAAGTCCCAATTTTTCATCTGAAAAAGGCTCATCTGAAGGAAGGCTGTTTATCAGGGTCAATTCTCAGGGGTGGGAGTACAGGTGAAAGGCTTTTTCGGTATTAATAGAGCAATGGTACCTTAAAAATTCCTATCATGAGTGTGTGACAGAGTGCTCTGAGGGCAGGGCCACACTACACTCATCTCTGTCTCCCTTTCAGGCCCCAGCACCAGCTGTCCGGGAGTCTATTTTTAATAACTCCCCACTGAACTCCTTCAGTTAAGCATATTGCATTCTTACCAGACAAAGCCATGACAACCTGGGCTATGAAATGCCCACACAGCAGTGGGAGGGCTGGTGGCCAAGCACACACTGACACTGAGGGAGAGGTTTTGGCCCTGGCCTGTTTGCTCAGTGATTAGAGCGTTGGCCCGCAGACTGAAGGGTCCCGGGTTCAATTCTGGCGAAGGGCATGTGCCTCGGTCGCAGGCTCGATCCCAGCCCCGGTCAGGGCGAGTGTGGGAAGCAACCAATCCATGTGCCTCTCTCACATCGATGTTTCTCTCTCTCTCACATCAATGTTTCTCTCTTTCTTTTACATAGATGTCTCTCTCTCTCACACACATGGATGTTTCTCTCTCTTTCATATCGATGTCTCTCTCTCACACACATGGATGTTTCTCTCTCTCTCACATTGATGTTTCTCTCTCTCACATCAATGTTTCTCTCTCTCACATTGATGTTTCTCTCTTTCACATCGATGTCTCTCTCACATTGATGTTTCTCTCTCTCACATCAATGTTTCTCTCTCTCTCACATTGATGTTTCTCTCACATCAATGTTTCTCTCTCTCTCACATTGATGTTTCTCTCTTTCACATCGATGTCTCTCTCTCTCTCTCTCTCACATCTCTCTCTCTCACACACACACATCGATGTTTCTCTCTCTCTCTCTGAAAAGCAGTGGAAAAAACATTCTTAGGTGAGGATTAAAACAAAAGGGAGAGGTTTTGACAAGTGTTTTATCTGTTTGCCAGGTTAAAACAGAAATTAAACTAGTATTACTTTTCTAGAATATATTTTTGTTCAGGGGTAAAAGATTAAACCATGAATCAATCATCAAAATCACCTCAGTTTTTACTTCAAAGACATACATACAAGAGTGATCTCTTCGGGGAAAGCCAGGTGACCCGAGGGTAACACGAATAACCTGGAAGCCACCGCCCTACTCTGCACCTACTGAATGACTCTGGGGAGGGGTGCATGCTGCCACCCACAAGAAGAACAGGCGTGACCAGGCGCAGCCGAGGCCGTGCCCTCACCCGGTTCCGTGGCCGGCAGTGGGCCTGGCACTGGGAGGAGGATCCAGTCTGATTTTAGAAGCGTTTCCCATTTTTATGGGCCATGTTTCGACTTGTTGACCATGTGCCCATCTCAGCTTCCTTTTTATACATTTCAAAAGTACATTAAGCCCTCGATTTTGCAGACTTTAATTTAACAAACAAAATTTCCGGTCCCTGTGTCATATGTGAAAATTAACACCCTATTAATTTTAAAATGCTTTCAACCAAGATTGGCTTATAATTAAGTGAACAGGTTTATTTTTTGTTATTAATTCACTGTTATTTTTAACAAATCTTAGCAGATAGACCATGTGTTGGCAAAAACACTGCAGTAATTTCACTGATGTAAATAAATATTACATACCTACAACTAGAGTCTACATATTTAAACCCCAGAGTCAACGCTGGGGAAGTCTGGCGAGTGACTGTCACATGATCATACTGCATCACTTGTGGTGACTGGTTGCTGCCGGGCAGTGTGACTCTCTGCAGCAGCTTGTTTGTTTGTTAACCCTCACCTGAGGATGGGTATTTTGTTCCACTGATTTTGAGGAAGGGAGGGAGGGGACGGTCAGGGAGACTGAGAGAGGAACACATCGACTGGTTGTCTCCCGTATGCACCCTGATCAGGAATCGAACCCGAGACCCTTCAGCACGCAGGCCGATGACCTCACCACTAAGACACACCAGCCAGGACTCTGCGGCAGTTCTGATGCCTGCTGCCTCTGGGTGGGCACGAAGCCCCGCCCCAGCATGTGCGTCTGTTTACTCGGGGTGACTGGCGAATGCATGCATTTATTAGATCTATTCAGTGTAAAATTACAGTAATACATATAGAACACTTTTCTGTGAAATTAAACTTTTCATACATACTTAAATTTAATTATACAAATGTGTCTACATTAGTAAAAACAGGTAAACTAACTTGTCAATTTTTAAACATACACATTCAGAAAACCTACTTTATTATGTAACAGACTTCTGGCTTTAACGGACGCCTCCCTCACCCGAAAACTCGTCTGTTCTATGGAGGTTTTACTGCACTTCACAAGTTAAAACAGACATGCTTGCTGCATTCAGCATCTCCTCCTGTTCCTTCTCTGCGCATACGCCTCTCTGTCTGGCCCTGAGTAACGGCTGTGCCGCGGAGGGGCAGCTGCGGGGAGCTCCTTGGAGGCGCCTGGGGTGACTTACCAATGCTAACTGAGTCTTCCCAGTCTTCCAGCACCTCTGTGACAACGAGCACATAGACGTATGTTCTGTGCTTCCTCTCCTGGTTCTGAGGGCAAAGAGAGGACAGGGGAAGTTACTCCGCATAGAGCCGAGGCGACTTGGACGAAGCGCACGCTCACGGCCAGGGAGCTGAGACCAGGACCCCTCCTACGCCCCGTCCCACACTGCCGGCCGGCGCGAGCTCCTAGCAGATGGCCTCTCAGACATGCCGCACTTGCAGCTGAGGGTCAACTCTTTGGCTGGGTTTCTAATGCCAAGGCTTTACTCTCTCTTTTCCTTCCCTTCCCCTAAGTGCAACTTCATGGAAATGCTGTGAGCAGGAAGGTTTGTGACTGCTCAAGAAAAAGGCACCAACTAAACTCGACTAGCTGGACACAGAAAGAGGAGACCGTGGACGGCAGGGCTCAGCGCAGCCGGCGATTACCTCTCGCACACCCTCCTTTTCCCGCTAACCCCGCGCCTCTTTACACCCCGTCTCACTTCCCTTCACCTCCTCCAGATCGCTGCCCTAGATTTCCTTGTTTCCCTCTGTTGCCATAGCTGCTTACCTTCCACTTTTCCTGTCTTCTCTACACTTATGTACCCCTCCTCACAGCTTAGGAGGGAAAGGAGAGAGGCAGGGCTGGGGATAAATACTACTTACAAATAATATTCCAGCTGTTTGGAGATGGAGACTGCAATGGACTGAGTATGTATTCCTCACCCCAAAATTTCTATGTTGAAATCCCACTCCCCTATGTGATGGCATTAGGAGGTGGGACCTTTGGGGGCTGACCCTTGTGAATGGAATTAGTGCTCTTAAAACAGCCCTAGAGAGCAACAGACTTCCCTTTCCCCCATGTGGGCACACAGAGAGGAACAGGGGCCAACGAAGCAGGAAGCAGGTCCCCCACCACGCACTGGATCTGCTGGTGTCTCGATCCTCAACTTGCCGCCTCCAGAATTGTGAAAAATCAATTTCTTTTGTAAGCCACTCAGTTTGTGATATTTTGTTATAGCATCTTGAATGGACTAAGACAAACATATATGTGGTTATTAATACCACACCAAATGTATCAAAGATTTTAACAGACTTACCTCAAAAATTCCAACTAATCTTCCCAATGTCCCTTTTACTCCAGCCTGAAAAGTAGGGGGAAAAATTAACATTGATATTGTTTATATTGCTGTCTCATTCTGAATATTCTTTTTTTTAAAAAAAAATATAATCTTTATTGATTTCAGAGAGAGGAAAGGAGGGGGAGAGAGAAAGACAGAAACATCAATGATGAGAGAGTCACTGATCAGCTGCCTAGCCCGCAACCCGGGCATGTGCCCTGACCGGGAATTGAACCCCGATCTCCTGGATCCGAGGTCGATGCTCTACCGCTGAGCCACGCCTGGCTGGGCTCATTCTGAATATTCTGAGCAGTCTGTGAAACAAAAATGAAAAACAAGAGGGCACAGTTTGGAGGGGGTCACACCAGTGTTTCCTGTGTCACTGAGAAGAGCAGGGTGTGCACTGGGGAGGGAGAAGTCCTCTCATCTCCCTGGCTCTCTTCCCACTACAAAGCTGGCCAAATAGAGCAGACAGTTAAGGTCACAAATTACTTCACTCATTTATTCATTCATTCAACAAATACACATTGAATGTCTAATCTGAGCTAGGTGATGCCGTATACCAGGGATATACGGTGAATAGGCTAGAACAAAAGATCCATGAGGCAAGGCCCTTACCTGCCCTGTCCCTGGATGTCTATGCACAGTGTGCCCAGAACAGAGCTCAGCACCCGGCAGGAGCTCAGTAAAACCAAGTCAATGAAAACATACACCTGGTCATTCTGCCAGTGACAGGTATTGACAGAGACGCACAGAGCAATGTGAGGGACAGACAGGGATGAGGAGAGAGACAAATATACACAGTGGTTAGGCACTTGGGAATATATTCTGTATCTCCCGTTGGCCCTGTGATAATTTTTTTTTTTATCTGTGTCTTTCTGATGTATTATAGGTGAATTTTTCAGTCTATTCCAATTTACTCATTTTCTTTACTTTTTTTTAATCCTCACCTGAGGACAACTTCTCCATCGATTTCTAGAGAGAGCAGAAGGGAGGGGTGGAGAGAGAAACATCGATGTGAGAGAGACACATTGACTAGTTGCCTCCCCCACGTGCTCCAGACCAGGGCAGGGTATCGAACCTGCAACCGAGGTATGTGCCCTTGACTGGGAATCGAACCCTCAGGTCTGCAGGCCGACGCTCTAACCACTGAACCAAATCAGCCACGGCCAATTTTTAATTTTCTTTTAAACTGTATCCAGGCTAGAGTTATCCCATTTCTAGTCTGTTTTTTATTTGATATTTTTCATATCTACCTGTTTTTAAAAATATATCTTTATTGATTTCAGAGAGAGGAAAGGGATAGAGAGAGAGAAACATCAATGATGAGAGTTGACTGGCTGCCTCCTGCACACCCCGACTGGGGATCGAGCCTGTAACCTGGGCATGTGCCCTGACCGGGAATCGAACCCCAATCGCCTGGATCCCAGGTCGACGCTCAACCACTGAGCCACACCCGGCCAGGCTCTACCTGGTTTTTTACATATTTGTTTCCACTACATACGCCTTTGCTTTCATACTTTGTTCTTTTAAAATAGAAGTTAATTCCTCCATTTACTTCTTGATTATCTGAATATATTGAAGTTCTTTGTCAGGCCATGCTACAAAATTCATTGACTCTAAAACACATTCATGCTCCAGTTGGTGAAGGGCTTATTTGTGAGGTGGCTTTCACCAAGCTCTCCAGAGCCGGGTCTTGAAGGGACAGTGTAGGGCTGCTGCTTCAAGGTGACATGTGAATACTGCAGACAGAGCCACAGTCAGAGGGTGGCTTAGCTCCATCCTTTATTGGCACTGCACCTGTGTCCTCTCCCTACCTAAGCCCACATCTTTCTGAGTCTCAGCTCCCGCTGTCCTCTCCACTGGGCACCTGGGCTCCCCTTACTCCAAGGGTCCAGGCTGGCTGCGGCTCTGTGCTGCTGCTCTGTTTCTGCTCTGTGGAGGTAGTGTCCACCTTGCTTTTGAGCCAGGCTATGTCTTTTTTAGCTTTTGCTTTTTCTATTTTATATCTGTCTCTGCTAGGAGCAGAAGTGGTCAAAGGTGAGGGAAAGACGAACCCCTGGAAATGCTGTGGAATGCTGTAACTTGTTTTCTATTACTACTGCCTTATCTGTACAATAAACTAAAAAGACAAAAATATTTTCTAAACACAACATAGTAGGTGCTCAGTAAGTTTATACAAAATGAACAAAAATTGATAATAAGTACTCTAAAAGTTTTAAGAGATATTGAATAGAAGCAAAAGAAGCCATTTAAAGGCCTAGGCTCCTGGGTGAACTATATTTTGAAATTAATTTTTGCTAATTATCTGTCAAGGAATTCTATTCTTTTCTCTTGCCAAATGCCCATTTCCTTTCCTATTCTTTTTTCACCTGCTCTTGTCCCCATGTGGCTATTGGCTACTTGAATGGAAATGTCTACCTTTTCTTATTTAACTTGCTTCTGTACAGTTTTAGAAACAATCCTACTCCACAGCCAGCTAAGATGAGCTACATTGTACTTATAAGAATTAACTAGTGAAGCAGCCTGAACAAGTGGGACAAACTGGTGTGCCAACCTGAGCTGGAAAGCCAATTCTGTCCTCTGATCCCAGGGAGTCGAGCACGCTCAGATGTGTCACCGCACCTTTGTCACAGGGATGCACTGACAGGGCCAAGGAGTAGAGCTGTCAGGGTTGGGGTGGGGGTAAGAAAAAATTCATAGGGTTTCAGAGAGGCCATCATTCACTTTTCTCTTCTGCAAAGTGGTGAAAATGGTCTCTTTAGCAGTTATTGTCCAATTAATGTTTTTAATCTTGCCCTGGCCAGTGTGGCTCAGTTGGTTGAGCATCACCCTATGCACCAAGAGGTTGCGGGTTCTATTCCTGGTCAGGCACATGCGTGCTTAGGTTGTGGGCTCCATCTCCAGTAGGGAGAGTGCAGCAGGCAGCTGATCGATGGCTCTCTCTCATTGATGTTTCTCTCTCTCTCTCAAATCAATAAAAAAATATTTAAAAAAAATTTTTATCTTAAAAAACTCAAAAGTTTAGAAAATGGTCGTTGAATTTTAAGGATACGAATCAACTTCTATTATGACACTTCAATATACTTTAAAATTTTTGTTTAACAGTAATTTCTGCATTTAACACCAACATATAACCCGAATTTACTCTGTCGGATGCAGCTGGGAAAAACATAAAGGCATTTTCCTTTATAAAATCGATGCATTCTTATAAAGTCTGGAGTAAATCAAATCATACTGCCATCAAAACAGTGGAATTTCAGTGGCACTTATTTTCACTTTTCATTAATCTTCAAGTTGTAGACAGTAACAGCAGTTTTATTTGTCTCCTAGTGTTTCAAGTTTTATATTAACACTTAGGGGATCTACTTGTGTAAATTCTACCTACGGTGATCCTATCATAGACTCTATGGTAAAAAGCAAAGAAATATTCCTATATTTACCAGTTTTTAAAATTGAGATTTAGCAGTTTTCTTAGGAGAAGGCTCTTCTTTAGTAAAAAAGAAGATTTCAGTTCTTTAAAATCATTATTCTGAAAAAGACAAAGACGGCTCCTAGGCAAAGTGAATCCAAGACAGGATTCACTCTAACCATTTTACTTTTTCTTAAGTTTTCCACAGTCCAACTTTCATCTCCCAGCTCTCTCGCAAATGCTGCCGCAAGCAATTGGGCGGTTATTTTTATCTCTCACATGACTCTTGCATGTAGGTTGGGGTAGGTGTCAGGGTCACACCTGACAGATATTTGGCTCAGACATTGGGGATAAGATGTGATTCAAGGTATATTGTAAGGGGGTTCAACCAGGGTGCTGGTATGAACCTGTTTTTCTCAGAATCATTTGAAAGCAGTTATAATTTCAATCCACATGTCAAAAGCCCTTAATCCAGAAAAGGAGACTTTATTTAAAAGTCCGTTTTTGCTAGTAGTAAGAAATCCAAATAGTCCTGGCTGATCAATGACTCTCTCATCATTGATATTTCTCTCTCTCTCTCCCCCTCTCCTTTCCTCTCTCTGAAATCAGTAAAGATATAGTTAAAAAAATAAATAAATAGGTATTGCTTGGCCAGGGTGGCTCAGTGGTTGAGCATCGACCCATGAACCAGGAGGTCACGGTTTGATTCCTGGCCAGGGCACATGCCTGGGCTGCAGGCTCCATCCATAGGAGGGGGCACGCAGGAGGCAGCCGCTCGATGATTCTCTCTCATCATTGGTGTTTCTCTCTCTCCCTTTCTCCCTTCCTCTCTCTGAAATCAATAAAAACATGTTTAAAAATAAGTAGGTAGGTACTGAATTTTAATAAATTTTCATTTACTTAGTTTTATTTTAATCTCTTAAATAAAGTAAATTGCATAAACATATTTTCTAAGACTGAACTACCCTTGTACTCTTGGGACAATATAGTTGTGAGATACTGAGAAAGCTTTAGGTTTTATTTGCTCTTATTTCACTTGGAATTTTTGTAGCCATGTTCATGAGAATTTATGTTTTTTCTATTCTTAATTATCAAGATCAGGGGTAAGCAAACTATGGTCCATGGGCCAAATCTGTCTTGCCATTGGTTTTTGTAAATAAAGTTTTACTGGAACACTGCCACACTCATTATGGGTGAATTCACATTACAATAGCAGAGCTGAATATTTGTGACATATACAATATGGCTTCTAGAGTCTAAAATATTTATTATCTGACCCCTTACAGAAAAAGTCTGATTGCTGATCAAGATTATACCAGCCTTCCAGATCTTAGCTATTGTAAATTGTGCTGCTATGAACACAATTTCTTTCTGATTGGTGTTTCCAGTTTCTTAGGATATATTCCTAGAAGTGGGATCACTAGGTCAAATGAGTTCCATATTTAATTTTTTGAGGAACCTCCATACTGCTTCCCATAGTGGCTGCGCCAGTCTGCATTCCCACCAGCAGTGTACTAGGGTCCCCCTTTCTCCACACCCTCGCCAGCACTTGCCCTTTGTTGATGGAGCCATTCTGACAGCTGTGAGGTGATACCTCACCGGCCTTTTAATTTGCATCTCTCTGATGATTAGTGACTTTGAGCGTATTTTCATGTCTCTTGGCCATCTGTAAGTCCACTTTGGAGAAGTATCTATTTAGGTCCTTTGCCCATTTTTAAATTGGATTGTCTTCCTTTTGTTAAATTGTATGAGTTCCTTATACATTTTGGATATTAACCTCTCATCAGATTATCACTGGCAAATATGTTCTCCCATACAGTGGACTCCCTTTCCAAGTGCCCATCAGGAGATGAGGGGATAAAAAGCTGTGGCACATTTACACCATGGAATACTATGCAGCTGTAACAAAGAAGGATCCCTTACCCTTTGAGACAGCATGGAGGGACCTGGAGAGTATTATGCTAAGTGAAATAAGCCAGGCAGAGAAAGACAAGTGTCACATGATCTCACTCATATGTGGAATCTAATGAACAAAACAAACAGATGAACAAAACAGATCCAGACACATAAAAGCATGGAACAGACTGAGGGATCTCAGAGGGAAGGTGGGAGTGGGGGAGCAGGTGGAGAGAGATTAATATAAGAACTTACATGCATATATGCATAACGCACAGACACAGACAATAGTGTGGTGAAGGCCTGGAGGTGCAGGCGGGTGCAGGATGGAGGGGGTCAATGGGGGAAAAAAGAGGATATCTGTAATACTTTCAATAATAAAGAGAAATTAAAAAAAAAAAATTATACCAGCCTTACAAGAGGTGTGCAGTTATCTTTCTCTAGCGTAGTTCATTAAGATAAGAGTATACATTTTTAGAAATTTTGGTAGTATTCATCTAGTCTGATCTTGGTATTTTTGTTGTGAAAAAAGGTGACTTGCACTTAATTTCTGTAAGAATTAATTATCTATATACAGGTTTTCTAATTTTTCTTAAGAAAATTTGGGTATTTTTTTTTTTTTTTAGAAAACTTTTCAAAAAAATTTGTTTTGCTTGTAGCTCTTCATAGCATTCTCTTAATTTCAAAGTCTCTGTCATATCTGTAGCTATTCCTTTTTGTTCCTATTTATTTGTTTCCTTCTCTCTTAAAGTTTCTTTTATCAGTCCTTTGAGAGGCTCCTTTATTTTACTAGACAAATAAAAATAACCTACTTTTGATTTTGTTGATACCTATTTTTCTCTAATTTTTGCCCCTTTCCTTGTTATTTCCATCCTTTTACTTTTTTTTTGAGCACATCCAGCTGTTTTTTCTAGCTTCTTGAATTGATTGCTTAGGTTATTTAATGTCTATTTTGCTTTCTAATAAAAGCCTCGAAGGCTCAAAGAACCGAATGAGTGCATCCCATAAGTCATGACACAGGGTGCTTTCATAGTTGTTTATCTCTATTTGCTTACTAATTGCTGTTGTGATTTGTGCTTTAACTCAAGGATTATTTAGAACATTTTTTTTTTTCTGTTTCCAAATATGTTTCTCTCTCTGTCAAGTTAGCTCTATTGTTGATTTCTAATTTTACTGCATTGTGTCACAGTATATACATATAGTCTGTGTTTATTGATGCCCTGGGATTTTTGATATTTCTTTTAAAGCTTAGTATATGGTTAGTTTTTATAATTCTTCCATGTGTACTTGAGGAAATTATATAGTTGTTGTTGAATACAGGTTATCTTTCAATACAGCTATCTGGTCAACCTTGCTAATGGTGTTAATCCTACTTTTCTTACTGTTTGCCACTTTTTCTATCAGTTTCTTAATTAGATGGGGGGTTTTTTTGAACGCTTTTCCACATTCTACACATTTATAGGGTTTCTCTCCAGTATGAATTCTTTGATGAAGAATAAGGGATGAGCTCTGGCTGAAAACTTTTTCACATTCATTACATTTCAAAAGTTTCTTCTCTGTATAGATATTCTTGGGTTTAATAGCAGTTAAATTATTTTTAAACCTTTTCTTATGTGTGTCATGTTTATGTACTTTCTCCTCTTTTGGAACTACCTGCTGTGTATGAAGCAGCATGTTCAGATGGAAAATTTGCCAAGATTTGTTATATTCTTGTCCTGTTTCATAAACAAGGGCTTCTTCATTAGTAATTCTCTCTTCTTTGAAATATGCCTTCTGATTCACTGGTTGTCTCTCAGAATGGCCCTCGCATTTCCATTCCTCTCTCAAATTGGAGTACTCAAGGCCATAGCTTGTAAGTTTTTCTGTTATCTTCTGAGATGACTGTGCTTCACAAATGTCCTGCTTTTGGGTTAATTCTTTACTGTCACACACAGATTCCCAGCCTTTAACGTTGATCACAGCAACAATGAAGACAGAAAATGTCCTGAGCACAAGCCTTTTGCCAGCTCTTTCTTCACCATCCAGGGCTCTTTCCCTTGTTCCAACAATAATATCACACTTGGCTTAGAAAAGCAAAGTCCCAGTGACACCAAGATCCTGTAGTTCTTGAACATCACGTTACTGTACAGATGCCTTTGAGATGAATTTACACAATCCCACTCCTCTTGGGAGAAGTCTACAGCCACATCCCTGAAGGTCACCAACTCCTGGTACACAGTTTTAAGAAGTCCAACAGCCGTTCTTTCCTCCTCTTGGCTCTTCTCTTGGGAAATGGTAGTTCGCTCAGATGACGGAGATGGGAAAGGGAACGTAAGAAGCTAGGTTTTCCTTGCACCATCCAGAATCACCAGCCTAGAAGTCTGCAGCTTCTCTCCTCCAGCAGAGCTGAACTGCCGAAAGACTCCGTCTTCGCCCCCAAGGTTCGGGCAATTTCTACCAGGGCCCACCTACAGCCCTTGGAGGCTGATGGAACCCAGCCCCCGCAGGCCGCTTAATTAGATGTTTTAAAGTCTTCAATATTGCTATAGACTTGTAAACTTTTCCCCATGATTATGCCAATTTTGCTTGTGTAGATGAAGATTTTGCTACAGGCACATAAACTTATGGCTGCTGTAGGTCTTGGTAGATTGTTCCTTTTATCAATATTAAATGTCCCCCTTGCCCCTTTAAATATTTTCCACCTAAATTCTATTTTGTTTGGTATTACAATTATTATCCCAGTTTTCTTCTCGTTAGTATTTGCCTGATATACCTTTTTCCATCCCTTCATTCTTTTTTTTCTTTTTTCAAAAATATGTTTTATTGACTTTTTTAAGAGAAAGGAAGGGAGAGGGAGAGGAACACATTGATGTGGGAGAGGAACACAGACAGGTTGTCTCCGCATGCTCCCGGACGGGGGACTGAACCCGCAGCCTGGGTATGTGCCCTAACCGGTGACCTTTTGGTGACCAGCCAGAGCCATTCCTTCATTCTTAGTCACTCAGTATTATTGTGTTTGAAAACAACATTTGGGAAGTTTTATTTTCTTTTTAATCCAAATACGTGTCAATTAATTAGTAAGTTTATGTGAAATCAAGTTACATTTATTGTGATTTAACCTGGAAACTTAGCTTTTCACTGAGCCACATGGATTCCCTTCAGGAAGAGTTAGAATCAGACTCCTTAAGTTTACTTCCTGTGGAGCAAAAAAGCTCTGTGTTAGGCAGTTTGCACTTGCAAGTTCACTGAATTAAGAGGAAGTTGTTAAGCGGCACCTCAGCCAGATTAAGTTAGAGCTGCCCGGGTCCAGTGGCTGTTGGTTAAAGGTTGTGGAGTCTCCAGAGGCAAAAGTTGTATTTAGTATTTGCTGAAACTACTGTGAATTGGAGTCAGTGAAAAAGTAAGCTGTGGGCCTACCTCCTAATGACTAAAGCTCCTTTCCTGGAATGTGGAGTTGGGTGGGAAAGCAAGTACAACTGTTTGGAAGAGTCATCTGGACTCAATTCATTTAGCAGAATGCACTTGGCTCCTATCCCAGCAATTCAGTCTCTATTCAGAGTTCCAACACAAGCCAGCTCAAATGCAGTACTATATTCTCTAAGAGGGCAGATTCTAATCTCTACACTAAGCCACTGAATTAACTATTCATCAATGGGTAGCATTCAATTATATGTGATAATGTAGACAGCTTATAAACTTAGTAAAAAGATATCTTTTTTTTCGTTCCAGTTTTTAAGGAAATGCTTGAAAGGTAACTTAGGGGCAGTTATTTGCAGTAAAAGAGAGATAATCTTTAAATTAGTTTCTCCTAATAAGTTTAAAATAAGTAATAAACAAGAAATAATAGAGCACCTCAGATGCAGGCTCGATCCCCATCCCGGTTGTGGCGTGTGCAGGAGGCAACCAATTGACGTGTTACTCTCACATCGATGTGTGTGTGTGTGTGTGTGTGTGTGTGTGTGTGTCTCTCCCTTCCATGCTCTGAAAAGCAATGGAAAAACTGTCCTTGGGTAAGGATGAAAAAAGCTACTGGTGTCTGAGATAGATCATACATAAAGATGATGGATTTGCAAAAACGTGACCTACTCGGAACTTTCTACCTATTGAAAGCAAGATAGCCCTTTTCATATCTTAGACGATTAGCTTAGAGCAGCGATTTTCAACTGGTGCGCTGCAGGAATTTAAAAACCTGCAGTACCCGACTGTTCAGTCAGGGGCACTGACCTCTTTTCCCTGAGACTGTCAAATAAGAAAATGACAACAGCCAACACAACAATAGCTGTCAAGTGTGAAAGGATCAAAATTATGCCTTTTTTTTGGTCAGATTGGCAAAAAAGATATCTTTTGGTGTACCACAAAATTTTAGTAATTAGTTTATATGCCGTGAGATGGAAAAGGTTGAATATCCCTGGCTTAGAGAAACAAAAATATTTATAGTATTACTTCAGAGTCAAAGGAAAGAGAAGAGATATAATTATAAAAATTAAAAATAATTTAACTAAAAAATGTAGCAGTAGGTTGACTAAGCATATTATCCTTTTCTTCCTGAGATTCCATCAAAATGGAAGCAGGGGAATGCGACTGGAAAGATGCTGTTGGAAGAAAAGCAATTTCAAAAATTCCAAGAAGATGCACAGTGATGAACGAGGGTTAAAAGGTGAAGAAAAGCAGAAGCCAGCTCAGCTTCCAGACTCTGGAGAGGCTCCAGGACAGGACATGGCAGGAACACAGAGTGGAAGTGAGAAGCGTCCTGAAAGCCAAAGGCCTAAATGCCAAACGGCTATCCCCACGCAAGGAGAACGGCCTAGGCCAGACCCCTAGGCGGCCGGCTCCGCGCAGCATTCTTTAAAGGCCCCGGCGAACAGCTTCATTCCCCGCAGGCCCCTCTGTGCACCCGCCCACTCAGTGCTGCCACTGCCTCACTCAGGACTGTGGTGGGACCACCTCAGATTACTTGACCTCCAAGGAAAGTCATCAGAAGGAAAGAAAGATCAAAATATGTATGAAAACTGGCTCTGGTCAAAAGAAGAATTCAGGAAAACTTGGGGGAAACTAGTTCTTATCCTTAAAGAAATTGAGAAGCTATGGCATCCCAAACAAGAACAAGATGTGTATGAAAGCAACCAAGAATAAAAACGGTAACACAGAACTTAATAATGAGGCTCACACAAAACGCTCGGCCCCACCTGGGCTCAGTGGTTAGGGTGTCAGCCTGAGCACTAAGGGGTTGCTGGCCGGACTCCAAGGCGGGGCACACGCCTGGGCTGGGGCGTGTACGGGAGGCAGCTGATCTCTCTGTCTGTCTTTCAAATCAATGAACATACCCTCAGGTGAGGATTTAAAAAAAATTAGCCTCTGTATATCTACTATTAGCTTCTGATATCTATGAGTTCACATTTATGTTGCCGTATTTCCAGTCATTTGCCTGAAACCATAAAATAAGAACAGACACAATCTAATGATTTATAATGGCTGAAGAGAGCTCATTTATTGATTAGTGCAGAGGAAATTTTTTCTTTTTAAATCCTCACCCCAGGGTAATGTTTTTATTGATTTGAGAGAGAGAGAGAGAGAACCATCAATGTGAGAGAGAGAGAGACACCGACTGGTTGCCTCCCATACGCATCTAACTGGGGATCAAACCCACAACCCAGGTATGTGCCCTGACAGGGAATTGAACCGGCAACCTTTTGGGGCTGCAGGATGATGCTCCAACCAACTGAGCCACCCAGCCAGGGCACAATAATCCACCTTTCAATTTAAAAGCAGAACTGGCAATTTCGTTTTGCAATCACACAAAAATTCAATTTTGCCAAATATCACTGCAAAGGTGATCTTCTTTCTAAAACATTTAATATTGCATATATTCAATTCACAAAAGAGACAACAGTTTATTTGAAAGCAGTAAGAAACCACAATTACATTTCTCACTCTCAGCCTGCTGCAGAATGGCATCATGCGTTTTTCACTTTAGCCATTCTAACAGACATGCAGTTATCTCGTTGTGGAACAGCATTAAAGGCAATTAAAAAAAGTAAACGTTTAAAAAATTATTAATTTAGATAACATAAGAATTAGTATCTTTTATAAAAGAAAAAAATGAAGGCTTAAATGGTGTAAATGTTTAGCTCTGCTTGACCAAAAGTGCAACGTTAACCAGATAACCTCTTAATGTCCTTTCAACAATGTGATTCCATGATCCTATAAAAATAAATTCCACTTAAACCACTTAAAATCATAGTCCCTATATAGACAGACACCCTCCCTCAGGCTTCTCAAGACTAAAGATCTCTTCTGTGATGTTCTCATTCAGTTTTGCACCCAGAATTGTGCTGGTCACACTCCCATAACTAACTGATGGTCTTTCTTTCAAGTCTCATGAATCTCAGTGAAAGCATGTCAGGGGAGGAGCTCTTGGCTGAAAATAATACTCTAAAAAAGCTGTGGTATATTTACACAATGGAATACTGCTCTGTCATAAAAGGAAGAAAATTTTACCCCTTCTGATAGCATGGATAGACGAGGAGAACATTACGCTAAATGAAATAAGCCAGTCAGAGGACGACAGGTACCATATGATCTCACTCACTGAGGAATTTAACGAACAAACTGAACGACCAAGGAAAATAGAGACAGACTCATAGAGAGAAAGCAGGCAGACAGCTCTGGGGTGGGGGTGGCGATGAGAGTGTTGGGAGGGGGGTGAGGGATTGAGCAAGAGAAAGAAAAAAGAGAGAGAACACATGGTCATGGACAACAGTATGGTGACTGGGGGGTGGAGGTGGAAGAGGGCAGGGAGGGTAAATGGTGATGGGAAAGAAATAAAGAAAAGAAAATGATGCTCTTCCCTTCTTGAGCTGCCTCACTCTCCTTTCTAAAATCCTACTTCGTAGACTTAGCTCTTTTGAATGTTTTTATGGCCTACTTTGAAACCAAAAGCCTATCTGTTCGAGGGCCAGATATGGAGCCCTACCAAGTCTCCCAGCCGACGGAACAGGCAGTTCAGGTGGCATCCCAGACTGCCCACTTAGCTCCCTAAGTCACCCCTTGACCCCAAAAGGGAGGAAAGAGTAACAAAAACCAAGTCAAATGGAATAACATTTTAGTGGCATTCAAGGAATCTTCTAACAAATGTCACCTCACCTGAAGGACAGGACTGCTCGGTATGAAGAGATCTAAATGAACAAGAACGGTGGGCAGGTGGATAAAAAGGTACTTCATTTGGCACAGATGTAGGTGTACCTGCTACTTATAATATACGCACATTATATCTATTTTTGAAACTGTTAACTTCCCACCCTCAATATCATGGCATTTCTTTACCAGTATAAGCCAATTACTATAGAAACCATTAGGAAAAACCAGCAGGCCCTGGCTGGGTAACTCAGTGGGTTAGAGCGTCTTCCCAATACACCAAGATGGTGGGTTCAATCCCTGGTCAGCACATATACAACAATCAACAAATGAAAATACATACATAAATACATTTATAAAAGAAATTTTATAAATACATTTATAAATACATTTATTTATAAAAGAAAAAGAAAACCCAGCAGGATGGAGTCTCTCCTCTGGACTCAATGTCTGAGACTGAGCTGAAGCCATGGTGATTCAAGCAGAGGGAGTACCAAGTACAAAGGCCCTGAGGAGGAAGGGGGCCCGGCTTCAGGGTAGCAGCAAGGGGGCTACCAGCGCAGGTGGAGCACAGTACACGAGAGAGGCGTGAGAGATGAGGTCCCAGCGGGAGCCACGTTATAGGCCATGCTGAGTTCCATCTTAGAAAGCCTTCGAGTGACGTGACCTAACCTTTTTTCTTCTCACAGGATCACTT